ATACGTAAAATAAATATATACAATAAAAATACATTTTTCAAAAAAATATATATAATTTTTCTCTTTTTTTTTAGGATAACCCTATAGCTGTGTTCATATGCTTGTTAGTGCAGTGGAAACTTCCCAGTTCTGTAAATGAAATATGTTATACAAGTGAAAGGTCCAAGGTTAGGTTGTGCATTCATGTGGGAAAGCAATTCAAGTGTAATCTGGTGTGTCAGTAGGCTGAAAGAGAAATGTAATGGTCCTTGCTGAAAAGCGCATAAGCAAAGGTGTTAGTAACACTGATGTAATGAGAAACTAAAAAAATTCAAGAGGGTCAGAGTAGACAACGTAAGTGATACTTGTTGTCTCTGACCCCTCTAATTCCACTGTTCGCTAAAGTAATACCAGAAAGGACAAATAACATGTTTCAACTATTGACGCAGAAACGTACTTAAGAAAAATGAAAATGGATCCTTCCAGACCCCTCAACCACAGAAGACCTATTTTATTCCATGTCTCTCTTTTACTCTAAGCTCTGCTTTTAATGTCTAATCTCTTAAAAAAACAATAAAATAAAAAGAGGAAAAAAAACCCACAAAACCCTACCAAAACTGAGACCTCTTCTTTGCAGGTCATGTGTGCGTGACTACTGACAAATTAATCTATTAATCTTTATAAGTGAAATTGGGTTTTTTGGTTTTTTTTTTGGAGTCAATACTCCTAACATTTTTCAGGCTGATAGATTGTTCTCTGATAAGCTTCTACGTGGGTTGTATAACAAATGTTTTTCAATGAATGGTGAAAATAAAAGGGAGAAAGCTCTTTCACTTGCATGACAAAAGTAAATCCACGTTTACAAATTACACTGAATGCTTCATATTGTGCATATATGATTTTGTGCTAAGCATGCTCAACTATAAATCTCACTTCAAAATCTCTGTTCTTTAGGCTATCTTTTAAAGTTAATACCTACAGAATCTTTCCACAAGAGATAATTCAGATTGTTCTCATGTGCTCATGTATTTTCAAATATCCAGGGGCTTGTGTGCACAAGGAAAATGAGGAAGTTGAGGGTAAATCAAATAAATTTAAATCCTTTAAGTGAGATTAAGCTGCTGCCAGGAGAAATGAGAATATTGCCACAGGGGTTTAATGTTCTTTAATTTGTAGAATACAGTAATAGAAAATAAAGAATTTTTGAGAGGATGTCTGCTCTGTTCCCCTGCTCCAAGGCAGGATCGACTATTTACATTGACTTGACTTAGACTGAGTCTTCTTACTTCTTTCAAGTCTCCTCTCACAGAATCTTGCTGAGAACCGTCAGGTTTCCACCAGATGAGTTTCTCACACTAAACTTGCTTTTAAACCATGATTTACTCAGCTGTGGTGTTTAAAGAATGATGTTGCACCTGAAATGGCTGGGTCAGCTTTCCTGTGCGTTGCGGCTCTTCTTTGCAGAGAAACAACTTCACCGTGGTCTCGCCCATTTCGCAAAGGCATTTTGGTTTTGTTACTTTGGTCTTTAACAAAGCAAATAGCTCGAGGACAGGGCTGTAGCTAGTAGGTGTCCCAGAGGTTGTGTCTGGGAAGATTTCTGATCTCTCTGATGATATCTGAGCAGTATACAAAAGAATGCATTTACCATTACTCTGCTAATATTTTATGGGTGATCAAGTTGAATGAGCTGCTCTAGGAACATCTCTTCATGCAAATAAAAGTGGCAAAAATCAATATTATTTTAGGATGAAAAAGAAACCTGAAAGCACATGGCTGAGTAGGATAAAACGCTACATACAAAGAAAAAATTGTAAGGTTTATAAAGAAATTATTTATAAAATCATGAGAGAAGCAGTTTTCTCCCAAGCCTGTGTCCCTCTGCCATTTGTTGGTACTATGCACTGCCAAACCCATCAGGTACCTCCAGCACCCACTGCAGCTGAAAATGAAAAATGTGGAGTGCTTTGAACTTGCCAGGGGTCAGTTGAAAGCCGTTTAGCTCAAATGTCTCAGTTACAACAGTACAGCATGTATAGGAAAAATCTTCAGCTCCAGTCACCCTCAAATTTCTGTGTTCACCTACACAATAAGGTGATGTAGGACACGTTGCTCTATAATGACAATAATAATAATAGAAAAAAGAAGCCTGCCTAGCAGAGCTTGCTGACTCAATGCTTACCCTCAGCTCCTGCAAGAAAATAGCTACAGTTGTTCTCGGAGCAGTGATTGTATTCACACCACGTGCGAGAAACTTTACAGGGAAATGTTTGTGTGAGGAAAGATGTAGCTGTTAAACAGAAGTGTGAATTTAATAATTGTTTTTTACAAGGGCACACACACTCCATCTTTCCTTCTACCTCACATCTATATATATTCACTCAGGGCAAGTCTTTGCATTGAATTCACCATTTTCTCCAGAGTTGACTTAATGATTCAACATGTGTTATGTTAATATGGAAGGTGGTGTTTGCATCCATTTTTCTGCAGCATTTGCTATTTTACTGTGATTTGTTTGGTTTGAACTAAAAAATGAGCCAATTCCGTCCAGTGTTTTTCAGCTCAGTCTTTCTGAGAGGCTGCACTTTCTGAAGTTAGCAGCATGTTTTTGCAGACAGTGCCTGCTGCTAGCAGTGATAATGCCTCATGTTTACAGTTACCACCAGGGATTGGGATGCAGAAAGGCTCTTGTTTGTACTTGCTACTGCAATAACCAAGGTCACTGTAAATCTTGTGTGCTGCGTTGGGGGTGCTGGGAAGCAAAAGGGTCACAAGGAAGTAAAAACTCGCAGCCCCGGAGAGGAGCAGACAGGACAGGTGACCCAAACCCGGCCAACAAAAGTATTCCATTGTGTGTACGTCACGTTCAGTATAAAGCTGAGGGATCATGGGAGTTAAGCCCCCTTTTTCAATGGCTGACATCCAGGGAGGGCTCTGTTCATTCTTCTGCCTTTGATCCTTATCCATGAATTCCTAAATCTAGCTCCTGTGTCCTGTTCTCATCTGCTGCTAAGTCCAGTGTGGGGCTTCCCCAGCGCCTGCTTGCTGTGCAGCATCAGTGAGGATTGTGCATCAAGACAGGAAGTTTGTACTGGTTTCATATTTATTTGTGTATAATTCATTATTTTCTTATTCCTATTATTATTGTTTCATTAAAGCTGTTTCAGTTTCCTAATCTGTAAGTCTCTCTGCCCTGTTCCCGTTCCCTTCCCCTTTGGGGAGGGAGAGGGGTTATTAGAGAGCATCTGTGATTCCTTTAGTGACCAGTCCAGCCCTAACCCAGGACATTGGGTTATATGCATGTAGCTTTTTGTGCATCCTGTACGTTTTTGTTTCCTTCAATTAAAATTATTTTTCTACAGTTTCTTAAAGTGTCTGAGAAGAAATTTGGGTACCAATAACCTTTTTCTTAGTGAAGCTGAAAGTAAACAGCAGCTCTTGAAGAGACACAATGCAAACCTCTCCTCTTGATCACTGTTACTGCTAATGTGCTAGACTTGAGCTCTTGCTCCCCTTTCAGTTTTGTTTTGTATTGTGAATCTTTGAGCTTCAGAGACTGTAATTAGCTGCTGTTCTCTTTCTTTGCAGATGCCAGTGTATTATTACCCATCTGGTCAGTACCCTACCTCAACAACTCAGCAGTACAGACCCATTGCCTCAGTTCAGTACAATGCACAGCGGAGTCAACAGATCCCACAGACTGCACAGCCAGCAGGTATTTACATCTGTTAGTTGATTAATTGACATCATTCCTTCAGCCGCTCGCAGTGCCGTTGCTGATGAAACCTATTGCTTGTTTTAATTCTGGCTTTGAACAGCTGAGGAGAGAGCTGGTCGCTGTTCTGTTTGAAAATTATGAATTGAGAAACCCTTTGCTTGGAGATACCGAGCGGTGGAAGAGCCAAGGTCATGTTGTCCACTGTTGCCGCCTGGCGCGCGGTGCCATCTTCCTGTCACAGTCATATTACATGTTCAAGCCAACTGTTGCGATTTGTTCCTTCATCCTTCCAACTCCCCAAACGTTTTTAAGACTCTTAACTGGCAGACACGTTTGCAGCGATGCTCCACTACCACCTGCTCTTCCAGAGCCCGAGGAGTGGCAAGGTGTTCCATGTGGGACCAGCCCCCTACAGTGACATGCAGCTGGGAGGGGGGCCGTTACACTGTAAGAGAGTGAGTAGCAGGTCTCACAGTGAACCGGTCTCTTTTCCTGCTGTGTCATGCCACACCAGAAGTAAGAGAGACGTAGGTGGAAATGGGCTGGTGCCTGTTGGAAAGGGGGCAGGGGTTGTGCTTGTGTAGGGGCCCTCGCATTTCGGGGGAATAAAGAGTTAATCTGGGTGTGGAGATTATTTTTTTTAAATTATTGATTGTTTCTTTATTGCATGTCTTCTCTCATAGAGTGTCTCAAACCCTGACTCCAAAGTGTATGGGGAGGGGGTCTTGTTTCTGCCTGGGTTTGGCAGAAACTCTTCTGAATGGCAAAGCAGGTTCCCTGCAAAGACGTTGGTGTGAAAGGCTTTTAAGCTGAGAGCCAAGAGCCCAGATATGAGACGTGAACAAGACTTCTGAGGTCATCCAGCCCTACAGCCCGTCTCTGTAATGTGACTGCTGGCAATTCTGTTCACGTTTACTCAAGCACTCAGGGAAACAAAGAGACAGCAAATGCAGCTATAAATAAACAATTGATTACTACTTCTTTTTTTTTTTTTTTAAAGCTGTTCTATGTTGTAATAAAACAGGTGGCATTTAGGTCAGTGTCAGTGGTGGCTGACAGTGTCTGCTCTCATACCTTCATACTTATATGTTCCTGAAAGAGAAGAGGGTGAAATATTGCACCAAGGTCATCTATCTCTTCTAGCTTTTCCTGCCTGACAGTCTGGTACTGTATTTATTATCTTTGTATAGTGGGTTTTGGAAGTTAACTGCAAATCAACTTGGATGACGTTATCTGAATTTACTGCGTTGTTATAAAATCATATTTATCAGTTTAATGCTACATCCATAGCATACTGCAGATTGCTGTAAATAAAGTTCAGAAGAAATGAAGTACTTGAGTGATGTTCTGGAGAGTATCCAGCTAGTTGATGTTGAGTAAATCGTAGTAGCCCAGGAGCTGTTATGTCTGAGTACAGACAGTGCAGAGATGCAAGTGTTAATTTTGTTTCTGTGTTTGCTGCATCGTTTCTCTCACTTGTTTGGAAAACACGTGTCAAGGAGTTTGCATGAAATCTCTAGCCCCTCAGTATTTTTCCTGCAATTCACTCTTTCAGCTGCCTGCTCAGCTGGAAACGTTATTCTTATCTCTTGTTTAAAAATGAAAACATTTTGACTACAGTTCAGACTCCCTACTGTGGCGATGATTTTGAGCGTTTAGCTGTTTTAAAATATTGAGACTTGGCTGAGAACAGATACCTCAAGCTGGTTCTTCCCTTTGGGCTCAGATACATTCTTTCGCATAGTCATCGTCTGAGTGTGTGCTTAGGTGTGCCAGGAAACAGCTTCCAGTTTCCCACAGGTTCCTTACTTGGAGACGGTGTAAGGATCATTCACATTTATGTCCCACTGCATCCTTTGGTGTTTGGAAAATGAATCACTTTCCAAAATGGCACATAACTTATACTAAAATAAAGAAAAAAATTAACTGTAGGAGAGCATGTTATTCATCCTACAGATTTATTGCAGGAGGTTTGCTGTAAGCACTGAAACACAAAAAAAACCCAACCCCCCCAGATGATTGGCACCTAAACGGAACCAAGAGTCACTTTTGACAGTTGAGCAAGTGAGCTGGGCACACCTCTCATTTTCCATGTCTCCAATTTTTATGAAACTTCAGGAATGTTTTATTTTCATGGCTTTGATCTGTCCAATGCGACAGAAATTAGACAATTTGCTCAAAACGTTACTCTGTTGTTTGAGGAAAACTGGCAGAGTAGTCACGCTCAGTGTTCCTTCATTTTTATCTTTTTTAAAAGACAGAACCACCAAAAAAACCCCTTAAAATCTTCCTAGAAACTTGTACATGACTGGAAAATAGCATTCGATGTTTCCAACTGCGGTTTCCATTCCCGTACGGGCTGAGCTTCAGGTCGGCACATGAGCGGGTTGTGCGGGAGCCGGGGATAACCAGGAGCAGAACAATGAAGATGTGAAGGAGAAGAGCAGTTCTGTCAGGAATACTGAGGATCAAGAATATTGAGGATGGGGGAACAGATGGGAAGGAGGCAGATGAAAAGATGGTTTCTGAAATGGTTTCCCCAAAGACTCACCATCCTTGCTGCTGCTCCGGAGGGAGGACAGCTGCAGTGCAGGCAGCATGAACCCAACAGGAAGCTCAGAAAATGTTTTGTTAAAATAAAAAAGAAAAGTTTGCCTGCTCGAAGGAGCTTTTGGCAGGAAGGAGTTTCCCTGCTTCGGGCTGCAGTTTTGTCTAATGCCAGCAACTGGTTTTCACTTTTCTTAGAAAAAGTGTCTTCAGGAGCAGAGCAACATGGATGACCTTTACAGCAAATAGTTAAAGTAAAATGTCAGCACAGCATTTGTGGTGGCTGAAGGAGCCTGTACTCTCTCAAGGCTCTGGAAGGAGAGCAATATTAAGTTAAAATGGCTCCAGGGCAGAGAAACAAAAAGAAAAAGAGATGAGCTCACTTAAAATTAGATTGGTGCTCTGGCAGCAGTAAATCATTTGGAGAGAAGGATGAGAATTTTTTTGTGTGTTTATTTTCCTCTTTTGTTTGTTTGTTTGTTTTCCCTTAAGTGCTGGCTTGTAGGAGAACATAAGTGACCTATTTCTGTCAGCATGCTTGCACCATTCTTGGGTCCAGTCCTGCATAGTGCAAGGTTTCTGCGAGTCTAGGGTCAAACTGTCACACTGTGGTGTCGGTAGGACAGTGTAGGTGGATTATTTGGGGGTATCCAGGCAGCTATTCTCAAAATCAGGATGCTCATTATTAAACTACTTGGGTATGTTGCTATCACTCGTTTTTACGCTCCACAACAAGTGATATTTAAGATGACTGCCTGCTTCTGTAAGTGCAGAGATGTTATTCCTGTGTTCTCATCTAACAGTGCTCTATAAATTTCATGTCTAGCATTATCAGTATTTCATTCTTCAGTAATTATCTCTATATTGATAGTTTCAACAGCTTTCAATCGTAGTTCTTGTGTTTGAGTAGAAAAATAGAGATATATTGATGATAAATCGGCGATGACTTGTATTTTACTGTGACAGAAGAAATCAGCAATGTGTTATTTTCTTAATTTAAACTCTATATTTTCTTAAATTATAGCAGATGCTCTGCACTTGAAGGATTTTTTTCATCCTTAAAGTACTTCATGAACATAAGCTAGATAAGTACAGGAGTGTTACTTTGTGCTATGCAACTGGTTTGTGGTCATTCACAAATGAACAAGCTGCAACAAATTGCATGTTTTTTTCCCTACTTTAGTTTGCTGTTTTATGTCTGCCTTTTGCGTTCCAGAGATCTCAGAGCACAAAAGACATTTTATGGTTAAATTAATATTTAGATTCTTATTGAGGCCTAGTTCTAAAAGGCTGTTATCTTGGTCTATCACACAGTTGTAGGGTAAAAAGCTGTGGCATGTGTTTTGCATCAGTAACGAAGATCATCTTTTTAGGAGATTAAAGCCAAGACCTATAGTACTTTGTTAAAAATATCTCCCAGCCAAAAGTTTATAGTATTTGCAGAGAAAATAATATTTGGCATAATTGTATGGTCTGTAATTCCTGCAATTAATTAACGATTTTAGGACTTCTCATGTATTTATGAATCAACATCTGTTGCCATTAGAACCTGTTTCAGTGCCCAGGTAGCGCGAGAAGGCTCAGATTGCTTCAGAAATAACTACTTTTTCCTAAAAGCTGTGGAGTTGGTTGTATACGATAGGCAGAGGAAGTCATTATGTGAGGAAAGTATATATCTGGATGTAGAATTGCTTCTTAATAAGTACACGTAGATATTCTGTAAACAGCAAATGGTTGTCTTGAAGGAAAGGTAATATTTCTGATGGAGTACTGTCTTATTAGCCTTTACAGCTTCCAGTGAGGAAACAGAGATACTTGTCTCATTAATGCATCTCTGAAATAAATTTTAAGTGAAGACGAAATGTACCTTAACGGAGTCCGTAAATTTGTTTAGGTAGAAAACAGAGTCAAATTGACAATGAAATACTGAATTTTTGCTTAATTTAATCATTTAGGTGTCAGCGTAATTGAAGAGCAATATCTTCAAGTCTCTTTCATCCTCTTTGTCTTCTGAAAGCATTTGTCACTATAAACTGATACTGAGAGGGGGAAAAAAAGAATGGAAGAAGGGAAATGTGCAGCAATAAAAAAGAATTGGTTTGTTATCATGGTCATTAGAGAGCCTTATAAAGAAAGATTGCCGCTTTCTACCTTCGTTAGCAACCTGACAGGAGCTCATGATCCATGATAGATTTGTTTTCATAATTCCGTCTATAATTCCTGTGCTTATATAAACATAAACAACGTCAATTTTTAAGTATCTAATTATCTGAAGAAACTATTTCTCCAGCAGTAATTGCTTTACTGCACTCTTGAAACAGATTTGCACTGAAGGTGTCGGTCTGTGTTCAGTGCTGTATTTCTTTCAGCAGATACTGTTGCCTTGCAAGGGGTGTGTGTCTTATTTTGCGGGGAGGGACAGAGCCCTACTGGTTTTGACGCTGAAGTGC